CCCCCCCCCCCCCCCCCCCCCCCCCCCCCCCCCCCCACCTCAAGAGGAGCGTCACTGTCAGAAGAATCGAAGCATCGTTGCTGTTTGTCAGAAACAGTTGTGCATGAGCCACACACATTTCCGATCAAATCTGTCTCCTCCCCATGTGGTGACACATGAAACATGGGCTGTCCGAATAAGCTCATGTCGATTGGGTTTGTTTCAAGATGTGTTCTTCAGCTTATATGTGTGATTGGATTCAATAAAATCCCTTGGGTTTGAATTGTGTTGTGCTACTTTCGTCGTGGTTATGGAAATATTTGTGGTTCGGTTTCATTTTTTTCTCTCTTTTCAGGTTTATCTTTAGTTTGCGTCAAGTATAGATAAGGTGAAACATAAAATGGTATCTAATGTTGTTCATCTTACTTCCAACATCCTATGAGATTATCTATTTATCTATAGATTATCTCTTCAACGTCCTCTCATACTCCATCCATTACTCAAGTATACTCCAGGCAGCCACCACAGCAACCTTCAAACAAATGTCCTATACCAATAGATTCTTCAACATCTAATCCAAGGCCCTAGTGATGTGCTTCCCACTGCCCTTCTTAAAGGTAAACGCATGGACTTACCATATTTCTTTGTTTGTTTCTTATTACCAATTGTCATCGCCCACATATTCTTTTATTACATCTCTTGATCCTACATCTATCCCTAACATTGTTCATGAAACTTTTTCTCATCTTGGTTGGCTTAATGCAATGATTGAGGAGATAAATGCTTTACATGATAATGGTACTTGGGATTTAGTTTCTCCTCTTGCAAGAAAATAAAGAAATTGGGCGTAAATGGGTGTTTGCAATCAACGTTAACCCCAATGGATCAATGGCTTGTCTTGTCTTGTCTTGTTGCGAAAGATTATGCCCAAATCTATGGGATTGATTATTTTGATACGATCTCTCCAGTTGCTAAATTAACATCTATCTATTTCTTTCCATGGTTGCTACTCAATCTTGGACTTTGCATCAACTTGATATTAAGAAAGCTCTTCTAAATGGTGAGCTTTCGGAGGAATTTCAAATGGAGCAACCACCTAGATTTGTGGCGACAATCATTGTATGGATTGAAACAGAGTCCACGAATGAGGTTTGATAATTTTAATCAAGCAGATCAACAATTTAGTGTGAAGAGAAGTACATATGATCATTTTGTTTTCTATCAATGAGCTGAGAATAATGTTACTCAGCTTGTTGTTACATTGATGAAATTAGGTATTCCCTTAAGATTTTCCTTTAAGGTCAGTTTCATATTAAAGATCTAAAAACACAGAAGTATGTTTAGGGCATTGAAGTCATAAGAAGCAAGAAAGTTATTTTCTTGTCACAATGGAAATATGTACTTGATTTGTTATCAGAGACAGAAAAACAAGGAGTCAAACCATATAGTACTCCGATGATTACCAAACCTGCAACTCGCCAAAGGAGAATTTTTTAAGACATTGGGAGATATAGAAGATTAGTTGGAAAGTTGGAATTATCTAACAGTGACACAACCGAACCCAGATTCCAAAACACTTGGTGGATCCATTAAATTGAAGTCATGCTACCTTTTCTCTGATCCATTAAAATTGAAGAGACATGCTAGAGATCACCATAAAATGACTCTTCAGCAATCACTAATACTTCATTTTAGTGAAAAGCTAACAGAAGGGTCGTTTTGAAGCAAATTTAAATGTAAGGATAAAAGTGTAACTTTTGAAAGTTCAAGAGTAAGTGAAAACCAGCTCTAAAGTTCAAGGCATTTTGTAGAATTTAACCTAAAAATTGTCGCTTTTATTAATGTTAGGAATCTAATATCATTACCTGTGCAGAAATCAAAGATGTCCTCTTCTGAATAGCAAAATCCTCCCCTCGCTGTATAGCAAAATCTAACAAGATATCACGAAATCATATGATGTATCAAGATAGTATGCAATTGTTTTCATAAAATTTAAATGAAGGCATAAAATATATTATACCCGCTGTGTACCAAATGCATGTGTATTTTGGCAAGAGCATAAGCAGCAGCAGGGAGAATAGTTTCAACTTCATCATCACTCACCTGAGACATAGAACATGGAGACAATTTTTTTCCCTTGAAAAACAAACTCTAGATTACAGAATAATAAAAAATAAAAATAAAAAAAACACGCTAAACTACGCATAAAAACAAAGACGAGAGTCCCTGTACATATATGAGCTGAATATCCTTGAATACTCTAAATAATTAGCAATCTTGTAATGAAGCCCATTTCATTTATTCTTTAGCAACAAAAGTACTCTATAATTGAGGTTCAAACCCAATGAGTTTTTGGTCCAAACATTCTGTTTTCTTTTGAATCTATCAAGGTGTAGCCTAAGGACAAACTTGATTATGAAGCTTATTGTCCATCCAACAATCATCCCACAACAGAATGGGAACTCCATAGCCCAACTGAACTAGTAACCTCCGTAAGCGACTGTCAGCCTTTAGTGATATGAATTTAAAGTTATGCAACTTTAAATCACATTTTTAAACCGTACTTTCTAAGTGTCAGATTTGACCATAGTTCTTTATACTCGAGAGGAAATTACAAAAGCAATTTGAAGGAGGTTAGAAATGTGATTCAAGTTCTAATCTTCATAGATTCCTTGCTAAACATTCTTCTTAGGAGACATAGAAGAAAGAAAAATATAATAACATTATTTAGAAAAAAGATAATAAAAGGGACGAACAATACAAACATGAAATTGTATTTTCACAGCATACAGAAATTTGAAATATACCGGCTTCACGACGTGAATTAATATTGTAAAACCGTCCGCACTCAAGTTCATGAACAAACTAAAACTAGCGAGGAATTTAACCATATGAAAAGAAAGCATACAGCTGACCATCCGTCAATATTCTTGCTCTTCAATATTTGAACAGGCCTGCATCAATTTTGAGGCAAATTAGAAAAGACGTCAAACTTTCAATGTGTCAATGCTATAGCATAATGACATGAAAGTAACAACACTCACGTGTCCACAGGGCAAAGCAGCATGCACTCATCCCCTTTTGAACTTCTAAAAATTCTTCTTATAACGCATTCTAAAGGCAAGTTATTTAAAGGATCGAGCTGTCAAAAAGAAAAAAAAAATAAATAAATAAAGAAAATTTAGTCATGCTGTAATTTTCTTTCTTTGAAGAGAACAAGCTTTCATTAACTCACTGATTAGTTCTTTTGGGAGGGGGTTATCTCTTCCCCTGCCATTTGGGTTTTTTTTTTTTTTTTCTTTTCTCTTAATAGACGTACAGGTTTCTTATCCAATAATAACAATAGGCCGCCCTGATTCGTAAAATAATAGTAACAATGATAGGCCCCAAATTGAGGTTGTTCTAATAGTACAATTACAAGAAAATAATCAAGGAAGAGAACTCCAACTGGGTGCCAAAAAATTACAGATGCATTAATTATCAATGCAAACTGAAATTCTCATTCATACAATGAAAATCAAAATGCCCCGGCAATCAGGTGAACAGGGGAGCCCTGAGTTGCAATTTTTTTTAAAAAAAAATCCTCTAAGAGGGAACTGAGAAATAAACCTTACCATGGTAGCAATTCGCTTGTTTGAAGCCATGAGGACCTTTCCATGGTCATCTAACACAAACCCAGCTGGCGGTTTCGGCAAAGTCGTCGGGTGGTACGACAAATAACTGGAATTGGAAGTAGAGCTCGAGGGTCCAGCCTCATCGACACTAAAATCGTCCCCAACTTCAATGTCTCTATGGTTGAAAACCTTGGTATCTCCCTTACCCTTTTTCTTCCTCTTCTTAGAAGCGGTGGAGGCAGACTGTTTGGGCGACGGTCCAGGTTGAGAATTGGAAGCTCGGCAAATACATAGTGGCCAGGTGGGAAGGCTCAAGTTAAGAAAATGGACGGAATTGGAAGGCCGCCGTCTGAGGCTAAAATACGTGCGAGATAGCGAAGAAGCAGTAACAGAATCCAAGAAGGAAGGAATAGAGATACACAACGCCATGCTTACTCGTTCGTCGTTCCTCCCCTATAGAGATCGAAAGCGTAAGTAGAAATCTCGAGTAATCAAAATGAAATCATCCTCGTTGAAACTCCCGAATTAGGGAAGATTTCAATCATAACAATCATTCATCGTTGTTGGTTTAAACAGAATAAATCAATTCGAAATTGAATCTCATCTTATCCGTCCAAAATCTCTCGGAAATTGAAGGATTTTAGATTATAAATTTAAACTCATCCAAATTGACCCTATTTTCGAACGGGGAACTGAAGAAATCAAAATGAAGAAGAAAAAAGAAAATGTTACCTGCGGAAGAAAGAGTGTGGGCGGGCTTTGGAAACGAGCAGAAGAAGACTGGATAGTCGTGGCTGCTGGCGTGGTTGTAGCGTATATGGTAGCAGCATAGAGGGAGTGCCGGTGTGGGTATTGGAGGAGGGGGGAAAATATAGGGATGTTTGGCCGACCATTTTGAAGTTGGACGCTTGTTTGTATGTTTATTGCGGAAGTCCACCATTATGACCAACGCCAACACAACTCTCTTCTTAATAGTATTATATTATCCACTTTCACTCTGTCATCTGTTCGAGCCTGATTATAGATGTTCGAGCTTGATTATAAATCTATAATCATTGGCTAATAAATTAGCCATGTGAGACTTTCATCCAACAACTATAACGTCACACCATTATATGACGTTCTTAATTAATGAATGCAATATATATATATATATATATATATATATATTTGAACAATTTACGCTCACAAAAGTTATTTCACATTCACGAGTAGCTTTAAAGGAATAGAAAAACATCATTTCCTATAAAAGTTTTAAAAATGCAAATTGCTCGGTTCTAACCAAAGAGCTACAAACTTAAATGCATAATTCAATTACCCAGACATTATTTTTATGGCCTCCATAGCTAACATCATCGTGAGTACGTGGGTGTCTTATCTTTTCCTAATAGTAAACATGGTTTGAGTATTTAAAAATACTCCGTAAGTAGGGTTTAGAAAATACAATCACATGCAATGGTTCATGGTGGGACCTATCTTTTTGTGACAATTATTTGGGTTTTACTTTCCGTTTTCGGCAAGATTGGATGAGTATTCCTTCTCTACACATGGTTCATGCACACTCCATAAACCTATTAGGTGGGCACATATACGTACGTCAGGACCCAAATTTCATGAGTTGTGATCAACTTGAAAACATAAAAGATAAAATAAAGTACACTTATGAGTTCTTGTTCTTATTTATTCCTTGAGACACTCCCCCTAGGATATATGGTATAAGACATGAACTTGACAACTTGTGTTCAAGGTTTCATGCGTTTTAAGCGACATACTCTGATCCCAAAGCTTCATGCATTCCAAGCAACATAGTCTAAACGTGCATTTAGGGTTTCATGCGTTTTAAGCGACATACTCTGATCCCAAAGCTTCATGCATTCCAAGCAACATAGTCTAAACGTGCATCTAGGGTTTCATGCGTTTTAAGCGGCATACTCTAAACCCAAAGCTTCATGCATTCCAAGCAACATAGTCTAAACGTGCATCTAGGGTTTCATACGTTTTAAGCGACATACTCTGATCCCAAAGCTGCAACATAGTCTAAACGTGCATCTAGGGTTTCATACGTTTTAAGCGACATACTCTGATCCCAAAGCTTCATGCATTCCAAGCAACATAGTCTAAACGTGCATCTAGGGTTTCATCCGTTTTAAGCGAAATACTCTGATCCCAAAGCTTCATGCATTCCGAGCAACATAGTCTAAACGTGCATCTAGGGTTTCATGCGTTTTAAGCGACATACTCTGAACCCAAAGCTTCATGCATTCCAAGCAACATAGTTTAAACGTGCATCTAGGGTTTCATGCATTTTAAGCGACATACTCTCATGCATTCCAAGCAACATAGTTTAAACGTGCATCTAGGGTTTCATGCATTTTAAGCGACATACTCTGATCCCAAAGCTTCATGCATTCCAAGCAACATAGTCTAAACGTGCATCTAGGGTTTCATGCGTTTTAAGCGACATGCTCTGATCCCAAAGCTTCATGCATTCCAAGCAACATAGTCTAAACGTGCATTGTTTTAAGCGACATGCTCTGATCCCAAAGCTTCATGCATTCCAAGCAACATAGTCTAAACGTGCATTTAGGGTTTCATCATGCTCTGATCCCAAAGCTTCATGCATTCCAAGCAACATAGTCTAAACGTGCATTTAGGGTTTCATGCATTTTAAGCGACATACTCTGAACCCAAAGCTTCATGCATTCCAAGCAACATAGCCTAAACGTGCATCTAGGGTTTCATGCATTTTAAGCGACATACTCTGAACCCAATGCTTCATGCATTCCAAGCAACATAGCCTAAACATGCATCTAGGGTTTCATACGTTTTAAGCGACATACTCTGATCCCAAAGCTTCATGCATTCCAAGCAACATAGTCTAAACGTGCATCTAGGGTTTCATACGTTTTAAGCGACATACTCTGATCCCAAAGCTTCATGCATTCCAAGCAACATAGTCTAAACGTGCATCTAGGGTTTCATCCGTTTTAAGCGACATACTCTGATCCCAAAGCTTCATGCATTCCAAGCAACATAGTCTAAACGTGCATCTAGGGTTTCATCCGTTTTAAGCGAAATACTCTGATCCCAAAACTTCATGCATTCCGAGCAACATAGTCTAAACGTGCATCTAGGGTTTCATGCGTTTTAAGCGACATACTCTGAACCCAAAGCTTCATGCATTCCAAGCAACATAGTTTAAACGTGCATCTAGGGTTTCATGCATTTTAAGCGACATACTCTGATCCCAAAGCTTCATGCATTCCAAGCAACATAGTCTAAACGTGCATCTAGGGTTTCATGTGTTTTAAGCGACATGCTCTGATCCCAAAGCTTCATGCATTCCAAGCAACATAGTCTAAACGTGCATTTAGGGTTTCATGCATTTTAAGCGACATACTCTGAACCCAAAGCTTCATGCATTCCAAGCAACATAGTCTAAACGTGCATTTAGGGTTTCATGCATTTTAAGCGACATACTCTGAACCCAAAGCTTCATGCATTCCAAGCAACATAGCCTAACGTGCATCTAGGGTTTCATGCATTTTAAGCGACATACTCTGAACCCAATGCTTCATGCATTCCAAGCAACATAGCCTAAACATGCATCTAGGGTTTCATACGTTTTAAGCGACATACTCTGATCCCAAAGCTTCATGCATTCCAAGCAACATAGTCTAAACGTGCAT